ACACACGCCCAATTTTTCATTTTCAGACTTGTAGTCTTCAGGCCACACCGACGCTGAATTTATCAGATTTCATTCAGCTCCCTCTGGAGCCACAAAAGGCTTCATTCTACTTTTTTTCCCCCCACATAGCAGTAATACTCCTCAAGACCTATAAACAGACTTTGAAGTGTAAAATCGGTGGAGTTCCCCTTTAAGGGACTCTACAAAAAATGATTGGGCTGGTGAGGTATGTTTGATTTTATGAAAAACAAGCCCCCCCCCCGGGTTATTACTGTTTTCTTTGAACCCTCCTCTGGATTTACAAGATTAAAAAAAACTTGCAACACCCTTCTCACAATAGATCCAATGATAGAACAGTGTTGTCATCATGTAACTCTATTCTCTCTTTATGCCTCGGCCACACAGGTGTTTCAGGTCTTCTGGCTGATTACATTTCTGTTAAAGGTTAAAGGTGGGTGGAGCTAAGATTGGAAATGTACAAGCTCACAAGTTTCCATCTACCAATAACAATGATAAAAATGAAAAAAAAAAAAGATTCCATTCGTCCCGCCCTAACAAGATGTCAATCAATTACAGTCTGTATGATAAACGCCCACACAGTCCTGGAGAGGTCCAATCAGCCGGAGTAACTGAAAACACCTGTGTGGGTGCTCAGAGAGATACCAAATTAAAGTAAGTTGAGCAAAGGTAAAATAGTTACTGAATAGTTCGTCTTCTGATAGAATCTTTATTTGATGTATTTGGAACTTGACTTCCAGTTCAATTGATTTTAGTTTATTCTGCGGATTAACTGAATCCGTTACCTGCTCTACACTGCAACACAAGCATTGAATATAGTTCCTTAATATATACCACCTGTAGACTATTTCTCTAGCTAAAGAAGTGTGAAAGACGACATCCTGGCTTTTCAAATTGAAATAGATTTTCATGTGAATGAACATCCTGTCTCCTGTTGACATTTGACAAACTATTGACATTAATGAAGGAGGGCCGAGACCAACGCTGAGCAGCAGCAGGACAAAAGAAGTGATTTCCATTAAATGAGTTATCCATCTACTTAAAACTAGCTGTGGCTCACTGGGTGGTGAAATGACATTTTAGAGCGTCTAGCAGGGTTTATGCACCAGTAAGTGTCATAGGTAGCTGGTAATTAGGCTCGGTGAAACATCTCCGCTAACATCTGTAATTCATCTTCTTGGCGCGAGAGGACAACATGGGCCGATTGGTTTGTCTCGCGCGTGTCAGAGGATTTCAGCGGAAGCCAATCACGTCCCCCTTTCTTTTTTTTTTACCCTCCCGCAGCCTCGTCCGACTGCCATTTTCAGCACGGGCGGACAAAAGATGAGGAGGAACTCAGACGTTTTTCCAATCAGCGTTCCTGGAGCTCGGCCACGACTCCTTTGGGCTTACAAGACAACCTTGACATTCAGCGGCCGACGTACTGCGTGAGAAGCCCGAAGCACTTGGCGCCACAGAGCCGGCAAACGCCACCTCCTGCTCGCACACACACACACACACACACACACACACACACACACACTGCTGTTGGCTGGTCACCACAGAGGCCAAGCTAATCCAACTCCAGTGTTTAGTGCTGTGAAGCAGTTGGAAGCACATAGGCTGTTAACAAGTTAAGGTGAAAATGTCTTCTGGCAGGCCGACCTCCTTCTTCACACTTTACCTAGCAGCAGCTCTTCTGACACGTTCGACCGGGCAACTTTCCCGCTTCCGCTCGCTCGTGCGCAGGTGTACACAAACACTCGCGCTACACTCTGATTGAAAAAAAAAAAATCAGGCGACCGAGCAGAAACACGCAGAAGTAACACAAGGAATAATTTATGCAGAAGAAACTGGTTTTCAAAAGCTCCGCTGTGGCAAGAAGCTGGATGGGTGCTGCGATGATAAACGCATTTTATGGATCATGGGTTAAGTTACGGTACAGACCATTTTCTCACTAACATCCAAGTCCTGATTACGGCTATATATACTCACCGGCCACTTTATTAGGCACACCTGTTCAATTGTTTGTTAACACAAATAGCTAATCAGCCAATCACATGGCAGCAACTCAATGCATTTAGGCATCTAGATGTGGTGAAGACGACTTGCTGAAGTTCAAAGCGAGCATCAGAATGGGGAAGAACGGGGATTTAAGTGACTTTGAACGTGGCATGGTTGTTTGTGCCAGACGGGCTGGTCTGAGTATTTCAAAAACTGCTGATCTTCTGGGATTTTCACGCACAACCATCTCTAGGGTTTACAGAGAATGGTCCGAAAAAGAGAAAATATCCAGTGAGCGGCAGTCGTGTGGACGAAAATGCCTTGTTGATGTCAGAGGTCAGAGGAGAATGGGCAGAGGGGTTTGAGATGATAGAAAGGCAACAGTAACTCAAATAACCACTCGTTACAACCAAGGTATGCAGAACACCATCTCTGAACGCACAACACGTGGAACCTTGAAGCAGACAGGCTACAGCAGCAGAAGACCACACCGGGTGCCACTCCTGTCAGCTAACAACAGGAAACTGAGGCTACAATTCACACAGGCTCACCAAAATAATAATAGAAGATTGGAAAAACATTGCCTGGTCTGATGAGTCTCGATTTCAGCTGCGACATTCACATGGTAGGGTCAGAATTTGGCGTAAACAACATGAAAGCATGGACCCATCCTGCCTTTTATCACCGGTTCAGGCTGGTGGTGGTGTAATGGTGTGGGGGATATTTTGGGGCCCTTAGTACCGATTGATCATTGGCCTACCTGAGTATTGTTGCTCACCATGTCCATCCCTTTATGAGCACAGTGTACCCATCTCCTGATGGCTACTTCCAGCAGGATAATACACCATGTCACAAAGCTCAAATCATCTCAGACTGGTTTCTTGAACATGACGATGAGTTGACTGTACTCCAATGGCCTCCACAGTCACCACATCTCAATCCAACAGAGCACCTTTGGGATGTGGTGGAACGGGAGATTAGCATCATGGAAGTGCAGCCGACAAATCTGCAGCAACTGTGTGATGCTATCATGTCAATATGGAGCAAAATCTGTGAGGAACGTTTCCAACACCTTGTTGAACCTATGCTAGAATTAAGGCAGTTCTGAAGGCAGAAGGGGTCCAACCCGGTACAAGCAAGGTGTACCTAATAACGTGGCCGGTGAGTGTATATCTGAAAGTTCAGAATGTTCGTCTTAAAGGTGCAGTGTGTAGGATTTGGCGCCATCTAGCGGTGAGGTTGCAGATTGCAACCGACTGAAACTTCTCCCGTGTGCCAAGCGTGTAGGAGAACTATGGCGGCCGACGCAAAAAACGCAAATGGTCCCATTTAGAACCAGTGTTTGGTTTGTCCATTCTGGGCTACTGTAGACACTCTGTATGAAGATAAATGGCTTATTCTAAGGAAACGAAAACACATATTCATATTTTCAGGTGATTACCCACTTAATAAAACATACTTAATATTATTATATTGCACTTCTGCCAATAGATCCCCATAAACACACTGTTCCTTTGAACAGTGCCTGGAAATATGCACACAAATATGCATGCCACATGCTTTATTTCTGGGTGTTAAAATGAGATTTTCTTCAGCCGTCCAACAGCGAACATGGCATCAACAATATAACAATGTGTGTGTGTGTGTGTGTGTGTGTGTGTGTGTGT